CACAACAAATATATGCACACATAAATGTGTGTGTGGGTGTGTGATTGTGTATTTGAGAGAGTGAGCGTGTGTGTGTGTGTATGCAAATTGCCTGAGCTTGACCAAAACATAATATCAACTTGGCTGCTACTGTTGAAACAAGTGAAAGAGCTCTTCTAGAAGATGCATCGCAGCACGCATGTGTGCTCAAATACAGTGAAAGCTCTCCTAACGGACACTCCCATTAAACGAACAGCTCTCTTTGGAGGACATTTGCTCAAAAGCATTTTGAATCAGGCCCATATCCAATTGCTCTAATGGAGCGGGCACAAATTAGCCGACTGCCGACTGTCCGCTCATTAGAGTTTTTACTGTATGTGCACATGAACATTTCTTATCACGAAAGATAGGATAGCGCTTAACACGCATTGTGTGATGTTGGTTTCAAATTGGTTTCTTGTGTTTCATTGGAAACCAATTTTTGCTTCTAACTTCTGCAATAGCTCTGAGGCACAACAAGACCGGAGATATAACAGAGATATACCATAGCAGAAATAGAAAAGGAACTACTAAAACTATAAAAAGTTAGTCATTTCTCTCTTCCAACAAGAAGTACCTGGGTAAACTTTAAGCTCTCATTAGTAAGCTGAGAAGGCATTATAAATTAAACTAATTTTCTTGTACCTATAATCTACCTTTTGACACTCTTCGAATGTTGTCCGGGATATTCTCCATTCTTTTAAATGTTATGTGCATCTTATATCAAGAGTTCTGTTAGCTGTTACATTAATACAGAAAAGCCTTCGTAATATCGCCAAGCTCTACGAAAGTGTCCCGACGTTTGGCTTATGACCCTTCTATAAATCAACAATAATTTCTTATATTATAGTTTGTGACAATTATAGTTAAATACAAACGGATGAACAGATATGCAAATCTAGGATGCTGAGGAGTTCAGACCTGCTGCGAAGAGTGCATAAGTTGGGATATAATGAAATGTTGTCATTTGGAGTATTTTAAGCTAGCAACAAATAAAAAAGTTGCATATTTACATAAGTAAATCAAATTTTAATACAAAAAATTAGTAAAGTGCCTAAAGTTGAAGGCACAATATAGCCACAGGTAAGCAGCAGAGCAAAATGCTTGAACCACAAGCCCTGGTCAATCCTTGCGCTTGGCTGATGCCAATATCTAAACGCTGTCTCATGCTGACATGTGTGCGGTCTGGACAAGTCGGAATGGAAGAGTCCAATGGAACGCACACAATAATTCTTCATCAACAGCTTAAGGCGGCGGGCAGGCAATAAATTTTGCGCTGTTAATTTGTCACATGATTTTAGTTGGCCAATTACAACTATCAGACAACAACAGCAGCGGCAGCAGCGGCAGCGACAACAATGGCAGCAACTTGACAGGACTTAGGACACACACACACACACAAGAGCGCATACACACACAGAAGGCACAAAGAATGACCACAACGTTGGCAGCTTAGCTGAACGGGAGCCAAAGTGTAGAAAAATGCCAATGAGGCAAAAACAAGCAGACCCCAGAGTCAGCGTTGTGCGTGTCTTGGTATTTATCTAATTGTCACACACAGATACACACACACACACATACACACACGCGAGTTGACTAGTTGGGAAACGCAATTCCTGCATTTCTGGACTGCCAGATAAATGTGTACAACAAAAATGTGGAAATAATACGGCATTTGTATAAGTCTAATTGCAAGTGTGTGCGTGTGCGAGTGTGTGTTAGCCATTGATCCTGGCCAGCTTGACATTTTAATAAATCCCTTGACTCGCACACGCACACGCACGCACACGGGCAGTGCGACAGAGATAGCAATGGCCAAGCAGTGACGCACTTCCGCTTCCTGTTTGTACTTGGACCAATTTTGTATGCGCCTTGTTGTTGTTTCTGTTGTTGTTTCTGTTTCTGTTGCTGTTGCCTGTGTGTGGACGCAAGGTTATCGGCAGAAGCTGCGTTAATGTCCCTGAGTTGAGCAAACATATCATTAATTTCATTTCAGCTCTGTACCTTCTCTGCCCCTGTCTCCGGCGACATCTTTCTCTTAGTGACAATTTGTCAAGTTGAGCAGTTAACTGTGTGCGCTTGTCTGTATTTAAATTTATTTTAATTGCCAAATAAGCGTCAATTTCAAGACACCTCAGCCTCAAAGAGACCCAAGTACGAAGATTAACTCACTTCAATTACAAGCATAGCTGTTTCTGCTGATCTATATACCATATATAAACCCCTTGAATGTAGGTACATAAGATTAAAGACAAGTTGGGCGAAGACGCCGAAGATTAAATACCCTTGCAGACCGATGGTCAGTTCGGTTTAAAATACATTGCAGACTAACTTTTGCGTATTTCCGCTTTAATAATTATTGAACTTTTAAGAGCAATGAATATATGTCTGTTCTATGAGCTCTATGAGCTAATAAAACTACAGTATTTCAACGCGAAAGCAATCACTGTGTCTCAATTTTCGACCGATTGTTTGACAGTTTTAAGCATATAGTAGTCAAATCCGCGACATTTCGGCAAATGTGCAGCGTTACGACGAACCCATAAGCATTAGAAACATAGAAAAGGAACGTAATCTGAACCCAATTTTTGACCAGAGATAGACAATACGAACAGTGTCAAACACTTGTTAAAAGAATTTTCAGAAAGAAACACATCTTAAATGAATTTGAACTTAGAACTCTTAGAAAATGAGTTTGTCAACCAAAAAGTTTCATTCCAAAATCCAGTCTTAGCCTGGACCCTCAGCACAAAAGGTAAATACAGTAAAATGCAATATCCAAATCAGTCAATCAGTCAGTTATGACAAACTTGCTGTCAGGCATGTTTGTTTAAATAGACTAAAAACTTGTTTTAATAAATGTTCTAACTTTATGTCTTCAAATCAATAAATGAATTTTCGCATATTCATGTGTACTTTTATCTTTAATTGCCAACTGTATCTTCATGCGAAATATAATATTGGATTCATATAAAAATACCATTTTTTTTTTTATATTTCATGCAAACTCATATCAATTTCATTAAGTCAAATACCTGTCAAAGCAAAAGCAGCCAATAAAATTGCCAATATTTATTGGCTGCATTGGTTATTTACCTTGGCAAAACTCATGCCTAAGCCGCGAGCATTGAAACCCTAAAATATAATTAGTTTTTGGCCAGCACACACACACACACACACGCGCACACAGATGCCTTGTATGGAGGAGTTCACAGCGCATCTGAAACAATTTTATGAAATATTCAATTTAATTATTTGAAATAACGTAGATGCAGCCAAATATCCATTGAATCAGTTGAGCGCATGGCTCTGATATCAGGGCTTCCCTATACCGCTCCATGCTGCGGTGACAAATTTTCCCCGGGCTCGACCAAACTAATTACTCGGTGCGCCAAGGCAAAAATGTGAATCCGCTAAAATATTTTTGGTCTCTGAAAATAATGGCGATAAGCCGATGTGCAAATTATTGGAGTTGCGGTCTTCGGGTTTCGAGGGCTGCACAAACGGCGCTGCCAATTGAGAGCATTATCCAAATATGGAGATTTACCTCTGAAATCAAAGCTACCCATCCAATTAGGCTTATGCATACACGCATGCACGGGTGTCATTAATTAATTTTCTATTCGAGTATGAAATCCAAGGACTTCAGGGTATACATATGTCTACGTATAACCATAACTATCCTTGACATTCGAAAGCTTTCCTTATCCACTGCCTTAGGAGCGATATTTAAGAAAAGAGTTGGAAAAATGGGTAGCAACCAGATTTGGAAAAAAAAATCTATATATAAAACTGCTTGTCCAGACTGACTGACTGACTGACTGATTGATGATCAACGCACAGCCCAAACCATAAGAGCTCGGAAGCTGAAATTTTCACAGTAGTTACCTCTTGTGACGGAGGGGCATGCTAAGACTGGTTTTTGGAAATATTCCATCCACAAGTTTGGAAAATCCCTAAATACTGCTCTTGTATCTGGTCTCCACAGTATAACAATAGCCGGGATCGTATGGAGTCAGTTCAAAGCAATTTCTGCTTTTTGCCTTACGAAGTTTAAATTGAGACCCCAATCTTCGGTTGCTATCCTTCTCCAGCAGGCTTCTTCAACAGATTACGCTATGCACAATTCTTTTCGTATACTATAATATGTATAAATTACAATAGCTTGTATTCCGTTTCCTCCACCGAACTTTCTCTACCTCTAATAAAATCGGTTCTTTCTGATATCTTCAAGAAATCACAGACCATAACCAGCAATGAGTGGGGGCATAGCTTGCCGGACGGGCTATAAATTTTCCCGACCGGGTCGGTGATTTTCCATCACTATCTCTTTATCCTATCTACTTAATCGGTCGGTGATGCTATTAGAAAATTGTGTATTCTAACTAGGCTTTTAGCATTTAATTTCCATAGTTTATGTATAATGTATTGAATAATTAGGAAGACACTCGTTTTGTCGATCATTACTAAATAAATAACTAAAATAAATAAAAATAAAAACTGAATCTAATGAATCGAATCTAGGAATACTCGCTCATATGTATCTTAATACTGGGTTTCGCTTTTTTTAAGGGGACAAACTATTCCGGCATATGGTATTTAGTATATACGATTTTTGATATATATATATATAACCGAAAAATGTATGGTTACCGGTTCAGTGTATAAAAGAAATTATTCAAATAAATATTAAGTCCGTTGATACCACTTACGTTAACACATATGAGTATCCATAATAATCATCCCGTACATCTGAATTGTTTACCAAAACAAGGACCATGCTTTGCTATAACCACCATTCATAGAACATATATAGATATACATATTTAGTGCTAAGAATACTTATCAAGATATCAAGATATTAACTTTTAACGGGACATGCTTATTTGCAAGTCAGCCCCTTAAGCATGCTGACACTTCAATTCTGTAGAGCCTTATAAAAGCATCCAGGACCTAAGGCCAAGTCAACAGTCCTAATACAAATGTGGAAGGAGCAGCAATCCGTAAACGACTGGCCCAGCGCAGAGCAACTGGCTAGCTTCTGGTGGCACTTGAAAGGTGAGCTTGGATTCAGGACTCTTCTGTACTATCAATCAAAAAAATGTCGTTGCTCGATTGAAAATCTATTGGATGAGAGAAACCTGACGACTACCACTTTGGTATGGAACAACGCGTCGAATGCACCATATCTAAGGTTGAAGCAGAATGTTGATATTCTGGGATTGGTTTGCTTGGACTCTGATTTATTTGAACCCGTATTGATTGCGCTTAGTACAATGCTGAACCATATGAGGGAGGTGCCCCTGCTGCTGCAGATATGCACTAAGGATCCGGATAAAACAAGTATATTGGAATTAGGCCCCCAGATTCTTAAGCGTTGCAAGGATCTGCTAATGCCGAATGTTCTGTTGCTATTGAATGATTTCTTCACCTCTTCACCTGGTATGATTTATGCGTATCAAATGTTTCCCACATTCCGGCTGCTGTCGCAGGTATACCATGCCGGCTTGCAGCTATATCCCTACAAACTGGCTAACCTACAGGGCCAGGTAATTAGGACACGGACAGATCTAACGCAGCCCTATTTACTTGTTTACAAAGATCGCAACGGAAAATTAATAACTACCGGTGTGCTCTGGCATTTTATGAAGGCGTTTGCACGTTACTTGAACGCCACTCTTGAGTTGAGCTATGATTCCAATTCGAGCAGGTCTGTACGGGACAGCTACTTTAAATTACTGCCGCATATCCAAAATGGAACAACTGACGTCACCACCAGCCTTTTCCCAGTTACCTATTCTTCGAGTAGAGACCTCAACATTTTCAGCTCCCCAGTTATCATCAACAGCTGGTGCACCATGTTGCCAGTGGAGCGTGTGGTCAGTCCGCGTGAGGCTATGACCGGAGTGTTGGAGTCGCCCTGGATGTGGCTATATCTTGGTATCGTCTATTGGTTAATTCGCCACCTTTATGAGCGCCGTATGCCTGGAAGGCCGATCTTGATACTGCTCCCTTCATTGATTCAACTGACTCTCCTCTGCGCCGTGGTGGCGCAACTATCTGCACTGTTTATTCGTCCGCAGAAACTTCGAATGATTTCCAATTTGGAGCAGTTGAACGCATCCGGATTAAAGATTATCGGAGCACGTGCTGAATTCAAACAGTATCCTGACGATATGAGAATCAAGTACGCATCAGCTTTCATATCCTTCGAAAACTACACACAATTTGTAAATCAACGTAATAGTTTTAATTCTTCATTTGGTTATACAATTTATCGAATGAAGTGGAATATTATTGCGGAACTGCAAAAGTTCTTTAAGCGACCAATCTTTCGATACTCTACCAAGCTTTGTGTTCGAGAAATTTCACTCAATTCTGTTATTTTTCAAGAAAACTTTCTGTACCGCAATCAACTAGATTTATATATACTTTGGTTGCGGCAAAGCGGCATCCAAAAGTTTTATATAAGTAAACATTTTTTTGATATGCTAAACGCGGGTTATTACAAACTGCAGGATTTAAGCACCCAAGTTGAAGTAAAACCACTAAAATTCGCTGAGATGGACTTTATCGTGGTCTTATACGGATATGCAATGGCTATATCGCTGTTCATATTTGTATTTGAGTTGCTTGTGTTCTATATCAATGTTTGCCTTCATATTTTGTAAAAGTCATTATTAATAATAATTGGCATTATAAGAAGTATAAATAGTTATGCTTATTTATTAATAATCTATTTAAATATTAAAATTTATATTCCTTATAATACATTTTGAAAATTCATTGTTAATATACTTTCATTTATTGCTTACTCAGATATAATGTTGTTTCACTATTGCAATTCTTATACTACTAGAATGATCCTTGATAAACGCCTTTCAGCCATTGCTCTCTTTAGCACAGAGAACGTTAAGTTTTTGTATTATATATAAAGTGTCACAATTTTCTGTGAGATCATACCTCCTTGGTAGAAATTGGGATCAAGGATTTGGTAGGTGCAGTTGCGTGTTTAAATCAATATCCTGGGTTTTTATGAAAATTCATTTGAGAAGTGTTTCATACTTTTCGCTTCCTCTTTGTTTAAGTTTTAATTGGCTTGAAATCTACTTTCAAAGCCCTACATAAAGTGTATCTTTATGACCTTCAATCCTACTACACATTATACTAACAGTTAAGAATCTAGGCGATCTGTTTGATTCGAAAATCTGCTTCAATCTTTATATAGATACCATCGTTAATGAGGCCAAAGGATTACTTGGATTTCGTTATAACGAAACTTTTGTACAACTCTCTTGTTCGCCCTATCCTTGAATATTGCTCTTGCATCTGGTCTCCGCCGTATAACAATAGCCGGGATCGTATTGAATCTGTTCAGAAGCACTTTCTGCTTTTTGCCTTACGAGGTTTAAATTGGGACCCCAATCTTCGGTTGCCATCCTACTCCAGCAAGCTGTTTCTTCTTAATCTTCCGTCGTTAACCAGCCGTAGGACAATTCTCGGTGTTGTCTTCCTACATAAGTTGATTGTTGGCGACATAGATTCTTCTATTCTGTTAGGGCGTCTTCAGTTCTCTGTTCCGTCTAGACCTACCAGGAATTATCGCCCCTTATTCCTGTTTACGTGCACAACAGATTTAATTTTTTTCGCGTACTATGTATAAATTACAATAGTTTGTATCACGCTTTCCCCACCGAATTTTGACTACCCCTAATAGAATCGTCGCTTTCAAGATACCTTCGGGAACTCACTGACCATTCGGAGCTATGAGCAGGCGCATAGCTGCCGGATAGGCTATATTTTTCTTTTGCTTCAAGCAATACTATAATCTACATATGTACGTATGCATATGTATTTCACACGTAATATTATTACCTGCTCTTTGCTTACACGTCAAGTGAATAATAATCTTTAGCTACCCTGCAGGCTCGTAACTTTCATAATTATGCATATGCATATGTACGTATGCATAGTTTGTGCACCGTTGGACAAATTACTCCCCCCGGCGGACAAGCAGCTACTTAACATCCAGCTATGATTGGACCCGAGGCGAGTGCAGCTAACTGATTATGAAATGAAGTGCCAATAAATTGCATCGTTGCGCCATAGACATGTCCATCATGAGACGATGTGGCCCCCGTTCTCAGTGCGACTAAAGTTCAAAGGCAAGTCACGGGTTAAACGCCCATTAAATTTAGCTACGATACGTACACACACACACACACACACACACCATAAGATCCAGTTTAGAACTAAAAGCTGCGCCAAGGGGTCAGGCGATTAGACTTGGCCCCGATCCTGAGCTGCAGTCACGCCAGCCAAAAGTCGCGCGTATCCCCACTGAGCCATAAATATTGGTAACACAATCTAAACACTGAGCCCAAGTGGCGGGCCAGGGAAGTGTGAAAAGTCACACAATGAGCCGGCAGACACACACACACATACACCTGCACGCACACATGTGTCTGGCCCAACGCCACCCAATCGAATGGCATCGTGTTTTAAATCGCTACGAAATTGGTTTTCAATTTTTAAACGCCTCACGCTGGCTCCGTCCTGGGCCTGGCATCTGGCGACGTACATATGGTAGGTGTTATGGCCTCCTGCACCAGAGTCTTGCGTGCCTTGGAGCCAGCTCCGATACCCCCCCATCCAGTCGATGTGTGTGCGTGTTTGTCGCTCTTATGTTTTATACATGATTTTTCCACGCGTCGACTTTTTGTTTCTGTTCGGATTTGTCGAGTAGTTTGGCCCGGCCGGCGTCCGGGCCACAGGGGTCGGCCTGGCCAGGCTTTCCTGCTGGCCCATAATTCAAGTAAGGCGTTAATCTGTGACACCCAACGCTAGAGCCGAACCGACAAAGCCAACAGCATAAGGTGTGTGCGTACGTATGTGTGTAAGCCTTAGAGAAGGCTGGAGTAGGTGTGGGGTATGTGTGTGTGTGTGTGTGTGTGTGTGTGTTGCTCCTTGGTATGCAATTTGTTACCTGTTTGACAAATGGCGCATAACTTCAAAAAGGGGTTAATTACTCAAAAGGTCGATTTGTGTGTCGCGTTTATTAAGTTTATGTTTATGTTTATGACGTTCGTTATGCATCGGTTTGTTATCCTTTGCAGATTTGGTTTAGGGTCAGCTACTCAATCGCAGCATGTTGCGGCAACATTTTGAGGCCGAGCTGTGGCGCCCTCTAGTGCAATTTCTGTGCAACAAGAGCTGCATAACTGCCGTTATTTGGCATTAAACAAAGCAGTGCACGGCCCAATACTCACTTTTCCGAGCACCGGGAAAAGCTTTAGATTATTTATCTCTTTTTGCACGGCCCAAATCTCAGTTTGCCTCCCACATCGAAAAGCTGCAGTTGTTGAGTTTTTTCAAGTTTTTTTTTATTCATTTTTTTTTTGTTTTAGTTTTTCTACTCAATTTACTTTTAACATTTTTTTGTTAATTTTAAAAAATTTTTTATAATTTTTTTGTTACGTTAGTTTATAAATTTTTTGTTTTTTTTTCTGCTTTATACTTTATAATTAATTATTTATATAATAATAGTAAATATTAATCTTTATGGTTTAAACTATCACGTTTTTCACAATAATCTTTTTTCGTTTTTTTTTTTTCTTGTTTTCTCGTATTTTCATTTAAGTAACTTACAAAATTAATTATTAGATTTTTTGCGTTTACTTGGGTTTTGCATCATTTCGTAGTTTGTATATAAAGGTATCATAGAATTATTGTAATATGTATATTATATAAAAAATTGAAAACTTAAAGGGATAGCACATAAAGTCTTAAATGTGTCCCATTTAGTTAATAATCATAAAAAGAAATATATAATCAAAACTCAACATATTTGCGCACTTCAGTGTGGAAAAAATATTGAAACAGTTTGGACCGCAAATTAATATACAATTACGAGGTATGCAACAGCCGAATTCTGATTGAAAATATCATTAAAAATGTGGTCAATATTGTTATACATACATATATAAATATATATATATATAAGCTCATGGGAAAGCATGTGTGAGGTGGTTGTGTGTGTGTGTGTGTGCGTGTGTACGAGTGTGTGTTTACAATTACGGAGCGACAATTTAAAAGCAGAAAAAATATTTACAAATAACTAAAGTTAAAAAGAAATAATTATATATGCATGTGTAATGACAAATGTTTGCACTTTTACTTATTTGGTTGCTTATTGTTAGATGAGCGAAGCAGAAACCAAGGAGCTAATGGATTTGGGATTAGTTCATATTGGATTTTGGGATTTCACTTTATATATGCTGAAGCTGATCTGCAGTTTTGCAAACTGAGCATCAAGCAAAGACTTCACCGTGGATTTTACACTTATATTTTCAAATGATAGTTACGCTTTAGTCATATGTATATCGTATATAGGTAATTATCAGTAGTAAGCTTACGTTTGATTTCTCACATATCTTTAAATCTAAATCTAATAGCTATGCAAAACACATTTTGTTATTATTGGGTTTTAGTTATCTGCATTTTGTATTTTTTTTTTCGTTTGCATCGATTTGCTTTATTTTTTTATTTTTTTTTGTTTTTAAAGTTTTAAACTTTTTTTTGACTTGAAAATATTTTTTCATAATTTTGAAGATTTTTTTTCTTTCAGTTTTTCTAGTATTTCAAATAAATGTAACAAGTGCAATAACTTAAAAGTAGAAAAGGGTTTACGGTTCTGAACATAAACGTTTAAATGCTTGGCGGGTTTAAACAAAAAAAAAAAAATCTGAATTATGAAGCCAATTGACAGCTTTATGAACTGGGGAAAGTTGTGGAGGGGCAGGGCAGTGCAATGCTCAAAAGAAAATAAAAATCAATCAGAATTGATTCGGATTTTTGGTTTTTCCTCAGATATTTCAGATTGAAAATTGCATTTCGGATACATTTTAAATGCCTAAATTACTAAAATTCGCTGGCAGTGGCGCCCGCATGCCTCGATAGGTTTAAGGATAAGAAACGCAGCTTCTTATACAATAACATTACATTTGCGCCTGGGCCACACAAGAAATATTTGTTATATATTTAATATATAGAATATACATATGGATGTATATATGTATACATATATATATATATATAGTGGTGCTATATATATATATATTGATATAACTTGAATGTACTTTTGCGGATGCACATTTCGAATATTTAATGTACAAAATTAATTTGCATTAAGATCATTTGGTTTCTGTATATTAATTTCGTTTACATTGTCGTTTTGGTAATTATAGTAGGGTTATTTATCATTATATCTTTACCTTTATCATTATCGTATATAGTACAACAGTTAATGGCATAACGTTCAATTATCAACGCTGCTTCAGTAGGAAATTTCTTTGTTGTTATATATATTCAAATATGAACAATCAACAAAAATGTTGTATGAAAATTGAAGATAATTAATTTAGTTCATAGCTGATTGGCACTGGGCACAGAGCACAGATTGCCTGTGTATATGAATATGTGTGGTTGTGGGTGTGTCTTAGTGTTTGTGTGGATGTGTACTAACAACAAACATTGAGCATTTCATAAGCATTCGTTTCAGTTAGATGTGGAGAAATAGAGAAAAACAATAGAAACAATTAATCATAACTACTAAACCAACTCGAAGCAATTGCAATAAACAAATTTCAAATTTAACTTAATTAGGCTAACGCTAACGGTTGTCCCCACAAAACGCTTCACTCGAATACTACTAAAAAAAATAAAGAATAATAAGAATAAACAAAAGAGAGAAGAGCTGTTGGACACAGAAGATCCAAATCCAAGCTCCAAGCTAATTGTAAGTCATAATTAATCTTAATCCATATGTGTGGCTGCGTTATTGCGAATTACTTCTTTGACGATGACGAGGAGGAAGATGACACTCCAGCTGCTGTTGCCGCCAAAACTGCTGACGACGAGGTGGATGCTGCTGCCGGGCCAGTGGAGTTGCTGGCGCGTGCTGCACTTAACTGTGCACCGATCTGTGAAGCTACCTGTTGCTTTGCCTTGTGCTGCTGTTGTTGCTGCTGCTGCTGTTGCTGCTGCTGTTGGCGCTGCTTGTGTGGCGCCAGACCGGAATTGCTACCGCCGCGGCGCAGCTCGTGCTGTGAGCCCTGCTGATAATTGCGATTGGCCACCTGCGGCTTATTGCCTAGAGAGCCGCTGCGAATGCGCACAGTGCTGCTGCCAAAGGAGCCAGTGCGTCGACGATTCTGCTGCTGACCATAGCCGCCGTAGCCGCTGCCTGGCTGATGCTGCTGATGTTGATGATGCTGTTGTTGTTGCTGCTGTTGCTGTTGTTGCTGCAGCAGGCGACCCACATAGTCACTGCGATTGGTGATTGTGGTGTTAAGGCGACGTCCACCTGCGGTAATGACAGCAGTGCCGTCGCTTTCGGATACGCTTCGCAGTCTGTTGAGCTGGCGTCCTGGAGTCAGGCTGCCAACTCCCTGTAGCATCTCATTGATCTCTGGCTCCACAACGCGGAAGTCCTCAATATTCTTGAAGCTCTTCAAATATTCAGCCAACTTGGGCTGCACTTCCAATTTCTCGCCGTTCTTATAGTACTTTAGGAAGGCCCAGAATTTCTCCAGGCCATAAAGTTGACCTAGCGGACAAATGGAGGTTAGTACATTTAAACATATATAAACTTATTATTTGTTAATTACCTGTCTCATAATCGGCAATTGTCTCGTCCTGGAAGTCCTGATAGACATTCGGGCGGAACTTCTTTTCCAGGCCGTACGAAAAGAAACGGAAAAGGCACTCCA